AAATTTGGTTTTCCGTGGCCACAAACCAAAATTCAGGGCTACCAACGCGATCTCAAGCATTTAAGAATGGAAAGAGATACTCGCTGTTCGGTGGCCACGGAAACTCGCTTTACCGAGACCACCGTCCGATCAGCCGTTTTCGGTATCGGTCGGTGGTTTTGGGGAAGTATAACATTGCGGCAAATGACTTTTTCTTCTTTTTTTCCGTTAAAATCCAGTTCTAGTCGTGTTCGAACTCTTTCAAAATTTGATTGGTGTAGGATTCGGATATGAATCGGATGGGAAATAATTATCTGCTAAAACATTTCTATCTATCTCTTTTTCTCATTAGGGTGCACATGGTTTCTTCAAGTTTTGAATCTGTCACGATATAATTGACTTCTCGAATTAATCCTCCATGATTTCGTCCTTTTTTTGATGCAATGAAAGTTTTTTTTCGAGGGAATTTCTAAGCGCTTGAAATCTTTCAGTTGGTTACGTGGTGGAAGATCAATCGATGATATGAAAAATCTAATACTCAGTCCTCGTGGGGAAACGCTGATGATTTTGAAAGCAAAGAGGTTCATATTGAGGCACTTCTCATTCGTTGACTTTCGTTTTTTTTATGAATGATTTGTTGTCGTTTAATTTAACGGAACGATACCTCAGGGCTGATGCTGGAAGCTATTCATGTGTTGCGAAGAACCTTGCCGGAGAATCGGAAGCAAGTTTCACGGTAACGGTGTTGACACGTCCTCATATCGACGAGCAGATCGATCAGACTCCGAAAGTTGTTCAAAATCACGATATTACTCTTCAGTGCCCAATTAGAGGCAATCCGAAACCGAAGGTAAAAAGTGTTCAACGAATTTGACGTATGTCGAATGGAGAGAATGAGCAAACGATTTCACTAATAATAGAAAATTGGTGAACGTCAGTGATGTGCAATTAATGAAAACTGATGAACACGCTGACGAAAAACGTCAGTGCCGCTGACACTGATCCGCTGACAAGAAAATGTTTGATTCGCTATCGCTAAGAAAAATCCGCCATCACTGGAAAATTCGGCTATTTGAACACAATAGCGCGCTATCGCTGATCCGTCATTAGCGGATTGGCGTGCCCATCTTTGATGAACACATTAGGCAATTTGATCTTGTGCAGCAGAGTGTATTGGTTAAATTCGCTCGAATCTCTTACTTCAGATCCAGTGGCTTATGAATGGTCAGTTCATTCGTAGTGATCGTTTCACGCCAACAGCTGATGGAGGGTTGAGCATCAAATCGGTTCAGGTTAGCCTCTTCGCCGACTAAAAACTGCACACTCGTTTAATTACTTCTGTTTAACATCGTATGAAGTAAGCGAAATGGATGATGGATGGATTCAGTACCAATAAGTCGTCTAATAGCAGAACATTTAATTCATTTATTATTCATCTGATTGTGAAATGTATCCTTAGGAGGCTGATGCGGGTCGATATACGTGCGTTGCGCAGAATGAAGCCGGCTCCTTGAATACCGATTACGAACTTGAAGTTATAGGTTGGTAACTTTCTATTGCCATGAATTGAGATTGGAAGGCAAATTTCGTATATCGATCTGCCGAGACTAAAAGGTCAACTAATGTCCTTCGATTGCATTTATCCAATGAAAATTTCGACAGTCGATGATTGCAATTAGAACGTTTTTGTTGTATTTTCTTTACTGTCGATTCGTATTGTGTCCTGAAATAAACTTCACTTATTACGAAAGCGATAATAGAATTCATTCGTGCTGTATATTCTCAGGTCCTCCACGATTCCATCGTGAGGGTGATGCGGTATATGAAGTGAGAGAGAGTGAGACTGTAACCATGGATTGCGCTGTTGATGCGGACCCGAAACCTGAAATTATTTGGTACAGGGGTGATTCACCTCTATACCTATCCGACAATATTCATATTTCATCCGATGGACAGGTAATACGTTAAGAGTATTCCCATATTTTGATGAACTTTACTTGATTCAATCTTTTACGCTTCCTACTGCGTTCGTTTCATTGATGGATATCAGATTTTTTTTAAAAAGAAAAAGTTCTATTTTGAAAGATAACTTTTAGTCGATTACAGTTCCGTTCTTCGTTCGGTAGTCTTTTGTTTTTTGGCGTTCTNCAAGACATTTCGTTATTTTAGTGCAGTTTTTTTTATAATTTGAATGAGTCACTTGCAGACTTCCTCATCACTCTTATAATCTTTGATGGCATTCTATGGTTTTCTTCGCTCTGCTGTCATTCATACGAATTAAAATCCAAGCATTTTGACTGTATTTTCAAATTTGTTTTCATTTTAGCATCATTTCCATAGTTGTTTTCTTTTTCGGACTTCATTTTCTCCCACATTATTCATTCACTTATATATTCTTTGATTCTTTCTTTGATTTGTGACTGATTTTTTATCGAATGAGCAACTATAAATAAAATCTTTTTCGTCTTTTTGCATCAATTTTCTTTGAAATCACATTTTGCAACATTATGTATTGGTGGAACAAGCGTATTAAGTGAATGCTCAACTTTTTGCTGATACGCAAATTCATGTATTCAGTAACTGCCTTAAACTGAGTCTTTAATTGAGTTCTACATCGATCGTAAAAAGCGAAATTCACTTTCCTCAATTATCTCCATTGTCATTTCAACGTTTTTCTGTGTTATTGAACTTTTTTTGATTTTCAGCTGAAAGTCAGTCGAATTCTATTTAAAAGTTGTATATGAGAAGTAATGTAAGCTTCATCTGAATGATCAACTTTATTCAGCAAATATATATCTTCACGGTCAATTTCGTGACTATATATCAAATCTATGTTTTGCGTACACTGTCAGAGAGAGCATCTGTCACAATGATAAATTGACTGATCTCTTAATGGAATATTTGTGGTAAATTAATTCTTGAATACAAAATCAGAATCAGTTGTTTGATGATTTTGCAGTAAGACCTATTATTTATCTCTGGAATTGAGGAAATTTTGTTTCGCAAAATCTTGTTGAATGTTGATTGATAATGTACGATTACGAGAAGTTCTTCTACGCATTTTTTTCGTGTAAAATTGAAATTTTACTCCTTCCAGACAGACCTATCTTCATTCTCATTAGATTTGGTTGGTCGTAACAAATGAAGTCTTATGGAAATTATTATTTCCATCGATTTTGTTTTATTTGGTGGGCAGAAAAAAAAGACATAAATGGTCGAAATAATGATGTATGTATATTTGCCAACTTCTTATCAGCACTGATTTGTAAGTAGTTGCAATGATGAATCTAGTTATATATCCGAGAATTTTGATCTTACCTGGGACATTTGTAACTTAAAATGGTTGAAATGCAAGGAAATGAATTCTCGTATTCAATATTCATCAGGCAGTTTTGAATTCACGTTCTCTTTCGTCCGTAGTCTTTGGTTAATTTGTTCGTACTCTGTCACCTACCTCATCCCACCTTGGACAACCAATAAAATAGAAAGTATCACTTTGAAGATGTGGCGAATGAATTTTTGATGAATCTGTGCAATTGGTTTCCTAATTGAAAAATTTTATCGACGATTTTATGTGAAATTGAATTTTCGTACCCATTCCTCATTTTGAGTGAATTATATTCCATTGTGCATTTTCACAGAAACTGATTATGAGATAAATATCCCTTTCCCATCACGGAAAGTTTTTTCCAAATGTGTGTTGTCAATCGACGAATAGAAAAAAGCCACAATACGGAGTTTTTGATAGGATGGATTCTGTTTGTATAAGCAAAGACAAACAAAAAGTTTCTTCAAAAAAGAATTTAACTCCAAAAGGATTAAATTGGCATTATTTGTTTTCTTTAAAGACGACATTACCACGGAGACGTATGCAACGATGGTAATACCGCACACGTCTCAATCAAAAACTGGTGTTTTTGTGATGAATCAATCATCTCAGTTTTTTCCTTGTATATCACTTTACACCGGTGTTTTCATTGATGTTCTTTCTGCACGAACTCTTCAACCAACTCCAATATTTTCTCAGTTCAAAGCAACTATTGCTAGGTTTTGAAAACAATTCCATATGTGGTTGTTGATGAATGAATGTCTCTAAATGATCTGCTACCTTTATCTATATCATCGTTCTGTGATCACTATCGCAGCCGGCTACCGAATACATTTACTCTTGCGTTATCAATGAATGCTATCAAATCGGAAGTCAGCTACAAAATTCATCACTTGCACAGCAAAATCTATAATTTTATGTCGTTTTTTCATCGCCTTCTCTGAGCCACTCCCATAAATCGAACAAACAATATTGCTTAGTGCTACTCGTCATTAAACTGTTCGTCAATGCGTGCAATCGGAATCATTTCTTCAATATATTCGATATTCATCATAACTCAGACTGCTTCGGTTCTCCTCGAGTTCCCGGAAGCCCAGCCACACATTCAGTATGTAAGCGGATTAAGCATCTTTCATCAATGCGTTTTTCGAATTTGAATTCTTAATGCAATTTAAGAGTTGTTTTGAATGTCTGTTGAATTAATCGTTGAGCCCCACTCGCTGATTCGTGTCTTTCAAAGACGAAAATCACATCTGAGATTGACACTCTATGATTCAATATTAATTACTTCTGATTTCTTCTACAAAAGTGTTCTGCAAACAATGTACATTTATTTTCCCAACGATNTTTTATAGATGAACCTTTGATCATCCACTTTCCATAATTGTTCTCTTTTTAAATTATCGCAATCAGTCTGTTTTGACAGATCGTTTGAGTGCATTGTCAATGGGACGTTTTTATTGCACTACTTATTGATGTAGTTGTTTTCGTGTCTGTTAAAAGCACTTCAATCGAGCTATTAATTCAGTTTAACCAATAAAATCAATTTCACACATTCTTGATTAGTGCAAAAACAGTGAAATTTATCGCCTCGTGCTTGGCGGCCTCAAGATGAATGACTGCTTATCATGTCTGTAAATTGCTTCCATCAATCACTGCTTTATTTTGTGCGATTGAAGCCGTTTGAGTCAGCCGGAAAATTCGTTTTCAATTTCCTTCCTTAAATATACTCTCTTTTTTTGTTTCAAACAAACCAACACAATGGGAATTATTGGAATTTTTTGAGAGTGGAATTCCGTCATGGCTGGAATGAATGCAACATTATTGAATAATGATTTCTGTAAACAATTAGCAGCTATCGGTTTTGTTCAACGCGGAGTATTATTTCAGCAAATCACAATCCGTGGTGCTCAAGTTAGTGATGGTGGTAAATATACGTGTAGAGCGACGAACGAAGCGGGTTCTGCTGATATCGACCTCACGTTAAAAATTCTTATTCCGCCAAGCATCGACAAGTCGAATATCATCGGAAACCCACTGGCTATTGTTGGCAGGTTGTTTTATCAGCATAATTTTGAGCGTATTTTGAAGCGTTTCGAATTTCTTCATTTTGGAATATACTCTGAGTGGTTGCATTATTTCCCAACCACTGAACGGGAGAATTTTTCCAAAGGAATTACTTCATTTTTTATGAAGTTTTCCTTATTTTAATAAATTGTACTAATTGTAAGCGATTGACTATGTACATAACACCGAAATAAATCGTAAGGAGAAGCTTGAAAAAGACAATCGAGAATGGTTCAGTGTTGATATTTTCACATTACCTCTCAGTTATAATCGCCCCTCTCATGCATTACTCTTCAACCCACCGATTTTGAAAATGTGACGTATTTAAACGATGGTTTCTCTCATTGATCCCGGTTTCATATTCACTGTTAGTTTTGGTTTACAAAAGGTTTTGGAACGAGGTGCGTTTATGAATTTGAAACTAATTAATCAAAATTGTATTTTGGCAATTTTGATTAATTAGTTTGACTGAAACAATATCTGTGACTGAAACAAACAAACAGAGTGATACATCAAAATGTGACGAAAGAAATATGGTTTCGCAAGGAGTTTCTGCAAAACCAAAAGAAATTGAATGTCACCAACGTGACTTCATCAAAGACATGTCGAATGAATTCGCGAATTTCTTCCAGAAATTTGTAATGTTGTGTACACTTACAATTAGATATGTGAATGGGGACAACATTTCAGCGCAAATTTCACGTTATATCCATTCATTCAGTTTTAAATACCAATTGTGATTTAAAGACCTTGCAATGCACTGTAAACAAGTACGGTGCTTAGACTAAGAGCAGCAAGTGTGTAACAAGTTCTTCAGGTCAATCTATTTGGAATGCCCAGTCACTGGAATTCCCCAGCCGAAAGTCACGTGGTTCAAAGAAGGTAATCCGATCGATGTGCGAGATCAACGAATATTAGTCGATCAGGTTCGATTTTTGACAGAAAAGCCCTGAGAAGAGCACGGTTGTACAAATTTTTAGAGAGTCGATTGATCTGTCTATGAATAATGTGAATCATTTTTACAATTTGCTAATGATTTTTACAATTTGCGTTTTTCACTAATCCAACATCACCGTTGAAAGCATTAATGGCGTTCCTATTGGAGCATCACTCTGCAATCGCTGCATGAAAATTATTGCAGAATAATCAGACGTTTGGTATTTTACATGTGGAGACCAAGGATGAAGGACGTTACTATTGCGTTGCCGAGAATAGGGGTGGAAAATCAGAGCAAGAATTCAATTTGGAAGTTGTTGGTTGGTTTCCTTCAATGTTGTTGTTGTTTTAAAATGTGACAGTCGAGAGTGATGTATAGGGATAAAGAATTCACATGATATTCTGATTGATAGTAAATACAACAACGACAATTCTTTCGATGTTTATTTGCGTGATGATGAAATCAATCAACTGGATGATTAACGAGCCGTAAAGAATTTTTCTAATGGACATTAGGAATGTACGAATCGTTGAAATCTGAGAGATAGAATTGTTTGTTTACTCTGACTTAAAGTAAAGAAAACATTACTGAAACATCAAATTTTTTCACCAAAATGAATTCTGTGGTTCATGAAGGTTATTTTTCGTGAATTTATACAAACTTTTCAAGTAATTTTATTTCACTTTCTTGGACTATTCTACGAGTTTTGGGATTTTGTTCGTGAGATCGATTCAAATCATTTGACATTGTAAGTATTTATGGTAGCCTGCCTTGATTCATCCAATCTGTAGTAATCCACAGAGGTGAAGAATTCACATGCTATTATGAATGATAACAAATATGGAAACAACAATAAAAACAGTAATGGCAATGATGTGACACTTTTTCAGAGCAATCAACTTCTCTCATTTATTTTCAACCAATCGAGTGCTGTTGATGATTTGATTCATACTCTTACTATCATTGAGCACTTATTTGCAGAACTGGTTCTTTAAGACTTGACTACGTCACAAGTGCTATCGTATGAAACCGATAGCGTATTTGATAGTGGATTAAGATGCGCAACGTAGTATATTTGTAAATAAAAGAGAGCACATATAGGCATTTTAAGTGAATCAACAAAATTGTGGTCTAAATTTGTGAATTTTCCAGATCCCGTGTTCTCATCCCTCAAAAAGTTGCCTTCTCGAGTTTAAAACCATTCACGCAAAAATCCTGTGAAAATAGTTAGTTCGAGAGGTTACTTTGAGAAGTGCACTTGTTTTTCAGCTGAGTTTTATAATAAAAATCTGAGTTTTAGTATCAACTTGTTTTTCGTCCGTGTTTTCGTAGCTTGCGAATTTCGAATTTCCAAATCTTGACGCAATCAACGCATGGAAATGTGCTTGTTTAGTTTAAAATAACTTATATAAAATTTCCCAAACAGAGAATTAGCTGCTTATTCGATGCTTTGCGTGAAAAGTTGATCGAACGATCACTCGAAATCTTCTTCAGCAGGAAATTTTTCAAGGGCTCTTTCCAGCCCAGAGAGCACCTCTTTGGGAATTGAGACTGAGATTTTTGTTGCAAATATTTTTCCTTTACAAATGCAAAGTATTCTGAGCAACACGTTCAGGATTATGTTATTCGAATTGCTCACTAATTATTATTCAGTTTAGTTCCGCCACAAATGGAGACAACTGAATTGCAACGATTTACGAAACGTGAGCAGGATACCTTGACCCTTTGGTGTCCGGTGAAAAATCCGCCGGATAGTGCAGCAATGACTGAAATATTTTGGTACAAAGACGGTAGGCCAATTGATGCAAAGAGTGGTCCAAATGTTAAGGTATTTATGACTATATTACACCTCACGCTCCTATTACATTCTCACTTCTTTCTTCTTTTAATTTATTATTCAATTGTAAGTCAAGATTTATTGAGTTATGCCCGTCTTCCATTGCACAAATCTTTCTAAAAGCATATTTTCTGCACTTCTGCTGTTCATTCGAAACCGCAGTTAATTTTAACTATTTCACAAGGGTTGAGTGCATGATGCATTCATTTGGATGATTTTTTCAACTCACTCAGTGTTACAGCTTCGATATCCTTTGCAAAACCATTGAAATGTGTTTTACAGTTTTGAGTTTGAATGTCGCTCAATCGCACATTATTGATCCATTAGGTGCTCGTCATAATCGCGCTCAAAATGAAATGCGACAAAATTTGAAGTGAAGCGATTCTTTCAGATTTCTTCGGATGGACGTCGATTGCAGTTGACGCGAACAACATTGGCTGACGCGGGCAATTATTCGTGTATTGCGTTGAATCGTGCTGGAGAAAGCTCGTTGGAATTCGACGTCGAAATACTCTGTAGGAATCTGGCCACTCAAAAATGTCGTGAACTAGAAACAAAACACTTGTACGCATATAGGAAAGTATATGAGAGGCGTAGGTATGAGTTGTGGAAACACAATCAAAAAATACAAAACGTTATGAATAAGCAGAGTCTAGAGACAAGTGATGAGCATATTCGAAACAGTGTGCACCATCGTCCAGCACCGCCGTTCATGCCCACTATTAATGTACCCGTTATATCCACAGTTATAATCAGTGGGGATAGTTCGTCAGGTAAGGTTACCGTTCGTGCAACTGATCACTCATCCACTCTGGCTGAAGTTCAAGCACATCCTGTTCAGCAGCATTCATCATCCTCGTTCCATTGGGATGCTAGACAAGGCAGTTCGTCTAATGCATATGTAAACAACACAATATCGAACCGGGTAAACTTGGAGGTTACTCTGGTGCAGGCGCCTTCATTCCCAGATGGCTCAATTAACATGGAATCGGAGAGGAATATCAATGTTGACGGGACTGCAGCTAAAGATGCAGCATCGCCTACTGTCGGTGAGCACGAGCAAACTTCTCAACGAACGCCGGATTTTGTGTTTGAGGTCCACAAAGCAGTTGATGATCGCCCAACCGTCGATATCCCGGCTTCCCTCAAATCTCCTTCTCAACAGCACCAGATAAACTCGTTGGATATTCGGCCGACTGCTCTCGCCGAAATAAGTACGTTAAGCCAGTTTGACTCTCGTCATCCGACGGAGCGTGTACCAAAAGTGCATGCGGAGCATAAACAACAACAACGGGAACAAACTGTTTCGGAACGACAACGGTATTATGAAGCATTGCGACGCACTCAACTGGAAGAACGTCAACGACAAATTGATCAGGCCCAAAGAGAGTACGAGGCCCGTTTAGAGGCATGGCGACGTGAAAACGATCCTAAACAGGATCATGGTAGCAGTAAGGATTCAAAGTATCGATCACAGGAACAGTTTCTAGGCGCAGCTGTTGAGGAACGTAATGAAAAACACTTGACTGATTCATCGAAGCGGAGGCGTCTTCCGGATGATCACCATCTGCAACGTTCCAATCATTCAACAGTCCACATAGGTGATCGAGGAATCGACTCGAACAAAGATGGCATTATGCAAATTGGTGTTGAGAAGAATTTAGTGGTTGATTCGAATTTCAGAAATGTGCATAAAATCCGCCGTCCGCATCATCAATATCACCATCGGAAACACCATCAGCCTCATCACGTTTCGCATAATCGAAAACAAATTGACCGCTCTTCTTCTTTTGAGCATCCTTACCATCGTAGTGATTTGAACGTGAAAAGTGATCACTTGGACAGTAAATCATCCACACAAAGAGAAAACACTGGCAGAAAAACAGATGAAAGAGAGAGGATCTCCTCGAATCGATGGGGTGGTAAATTTCTTCTGTATCAAACTGAATGGCAACCTTGGGATCCGGATTATTCGGACACCGAATGGTCGCAATGGTACAGCTATAATAATGCCATTGAATCGACAAGGCGTCGACGTCGTGCCTAGAGTTGAATTTCTGGAATAAAATTATCTCTGTCATTCTGTTGGTGATATTATAGGAGACGTTCATCTCAGAACTGAACGCTTCCAGTGAAACATACTCATTTCCATTAGACGCGCGCTTGATCTCTTTTCTGTCATCATATCGACTCTGGCTTATTTCAATTACTGCTAAGCGTTCACTTATGCACGTACTGGCTCTTCAAAACACCGAACGGTTTACTGAGTACAGACAGCCACAAATCTATCAGTCTTTGAAGATTTTCACATTGCACAATAGTAAACGCTTGCAATATTCTACCACGGAATGGCGGTTGGTTGGACGATGGTTGCCGGATAATTATGAATAATTGAGCGTTTTTGAAGCACACTAAGCTCATAAAGAGTAATTTATTTGCGGACGTACATGAAGCAACTATAGGTATTACCTCACTCTAGACAGTTTTAATTGAGTGTTTCTGAATAGCATTTTTAGAGGAATGTTGCACATGTGTTCCTC